CCGGCCAATCCATCGTCCACCGCCACCATGGGGGAGTGGACCATTCTGGAGAGGCTGCTGGAGGCAGCTGTCCAGCAGCACTCCACCATGATCGGAAGGTAAGACTGGGACCGACGGACTGATTTGCCACGCAAAGGCTTTTGTTAGTGTCCTGTCTTTGGGTGTGTGTTTTTTCCCCGATACGCGCGTCTTTGTGTACAGTACATGTTGTGTGTATCTCAGTAAATGGCATCCCCTACAGAGACCCCCCCTCCTCCTCCTCCAGGCTTGTCCCAGTCCACGATCCCCCACAGTCTGCATCCCCCAGCTCCTTCGTCCTCCCCCTGCTCTTCCTCACTCTTTTCACAGGACGCCCGTCACTAGTTAAGGGGATAAACTAATTGTGCTCAATCGATAGGAGGCTTTACGGGGGTGTTATGGCTAATGCAGAGAGGTGCTCGTGTTAATACAACCTAATAGCCCCCGCTATTGATAGTTTATGCTAAAGGACAGAGGGGGGAGAGGGGAGTGGGAGTGAGAGGAGAGCAGAGGTGCAGAAAATGATAAAAAAAAAAATGGAGAGCAAGCAGGTGTGGAGGGTACATTAAAAGGGAATCTATGTGACCATGACCATGAGGGAGAATTGATAAATTCAAAAGTCGGGCAGACTCTAACAAGCATAGAGGTAGATGTGTGTGAGATCACTTCCCAGATCTACTTGGAGAACCGCTCACGGTGGAGAGTTGAACAGATGAGCTCTTTGATGGATCAGCAGTGGAGACACGCCGTGTAATCCGTGTGAAATATGTGCTTCACATCATCTTCTGTGTGATTAATGAGATACAAAAATGGAAATTTTCCACTCATTGCACACAATCTAAATGTCACATGGGATGCTCATTTGAAAAAAAAAAAGGAAGGCGTCACCATGTCTTGGGCTGTAAAACGTAGCTGTGCGAAATTACAATAAAACACTGAACACTGTTTTTTTACTCATTAACCCAAATCACAGGTAGTCTGGGATGATCTCACCACATTCCTCGTGGGTTAAAGGCGGGAAAAGGGGCTCGTGCGACCATTCCCTGCACCATACGGCGTGCACGGTGCCATGATCAGGGACACTGTAGCGACATCAGAACAACAGAGATGATGAGAGCCACTTTACAACCTCCAAGAGGCAAAATTGGATCATTCAAAATAGAGATTTTCCTTCCAACTAACACTAAACCAAGTCATTTCAGACAGTCCTTCCTCGATGGTTAAAACTGCATTAACCAATGAAATCACCTGGTCTAGTTCCAGATGGAATGAAAAACTAGACATTGACTTGATTTAAAGGTGCATTAAGCAATATTTTTGTATCTTATTAATACTACGACTCCATCCCACATGATGGGATTTATTGTTGCCAGTACTGAGAATCTACTGTACATCCCACTGAAGCCCCGCGCTGCTTTCTGCCAGTCTTTGACTTGAGTGACAAAAAAAACAAATCAATATCGGTTGGTTTGTGAATGTGGGCAACTTCTGTCGGAACAGAGGCTAAGACAAGCTAGCTGTAATGATAATTGCCCGGCGTGAATCGGAAGAAAAAGGTCAGAGGAACAGGGGAAAGAGGTTCGAAACAGGTCTCTTCTTCATTTGCTTCAAGAGCAAATAATGGCTAAAAACGCCAGTGAATATTGGAATTACATTCAACAGGTGGCCAGAAAAAGGAGACCAAAGGGATGTCCGTGTTGCTCTGTTTCTGCTGGATATGTGAGTAGGCAACTGTTTGCTAACATGTCAGCCATAAGAACCTAATAAGCTAGATTCTAACTGTTGTGAACTTGTTTTGGAGTCTTTCCGCCCCCTAGTGGTCAAAAATTTTCACTTAATGCAGCTTTGAAATCCAGTCCTGGCAGCTGAATCAGTCAAACCCTGAGCGTACAGGGTGTAAACTTTGCTGGAAATTAATCTCTGGAGGATTCAAGCCACTGACAGTCTTTCAGAGGCACAGATGCAACTCTCAATTTGTCTGTTACCTTTTTCTAAGTCGTCCTGAACACTCCTGAGGATGTAGCGGTTTTATTGTTATATGAGCTAATTTTTGTTGATCATGCACTTCACTGTCTGAACATTATAAAGGGTTATTAACACAACAAAAATGTGTTCAACAAAATGAGCATCGCCTGTCTGGAATCATTTGTAATGATCCTTTATCTTGGTCCTAGAGTCTGATAGATTAGTTCTCTTTCATTTGCTATGTCCAGCCTTCCATAGAGACAAGGATATTTGATAGTTTTCATCATGATTAGCAGGAAGAACATCTCACTTTAGGACGTAGTTTGTACAACATCCACAGTTTTATGCCGACGTGCTGAAAACAGTGAGATGTTGTGTAAATGATCCCTTTGTGTTTGGCCTCCCTCACACTGTGTTTGTCCTACACGGCTCTCTAGCTGAGGGCATTAGCTGTAACGTTAGACGCTTTCCAGTGGGGTTCCCTCCTTCTACCTTGTTTGCCTAGGCTACGAGCCAGAAAAAAAAAGAAGGTTTTTGACATAATTTTGGCCAGTATCTGTGAGCATTTTTGGTTCGTAGATCCCTGTATTTCCAAGCTGACGTCGTCCTTTTTAGCTAGCTTGCTTGCAGGATACCCAAAAAATGTATCGGATAATTCTTAGACTGTTTTGTCCAAATAATCTAGGTTAGGATGTAATAGTGTATCATTAAGTGATGGTCTGGGTTTGGGGCTTTTTACCTATAGAGAGGCAATTTTTAGCAATTTAAAAATCCACCCAAAGTTAGCATTTACGCTAAACGCATTGAAGATGACAACTGGATTTAAAAAATCTTTAGCATGTGTCTGCATGGTCAGGACATCAATGACACTTATGGATGTACCGGCAAGTTGGAGAATTGTCCACCACGGGCACGGATTTGTGCTGTGAGGGGTGCCTCCATAGATTGTTAATGAGCAACTCCACTCCAAATTCAATAGCGAGTCCAAATTGTTGCACTGACCTCTATGGGTTGAAAGGTTCGAGTCCAACTGACCACGCGCAACCCGCCCGGTTGGGCGTGGTCAGGTGTGGTCCACTGCACTTTGTGAACACAACCAACTGTGATGTGGCGTGAAGTGTGTGTCCCCCCCCCCCCCCCCCACACTTTTCACAAAGGCGTGGCCAGAGCATGTGGCCACGCGGGACGTTGCGGCCTGTTTTGTGTTGTGAGGTTTATTTTTTTTAAACGAATTTGCATGTGTGTGCTTGCAGCACAAAAGGATGCGGTTCCAAAGTACAAAACAGCGATGTCTCCCCTCCCCTTGCACCAAACTTTGGAACATGTTTGCATGTCGGTTATCTCACTGTGCGATCCGGTTCCACTGTTGGATGTCTAGACTGTTCTTTTCCGCTACAATTAAGATGTTTCTTAATTGTACGTTTTAAGCTAACCTATGCCCAGGCATAGGATGGGTAATTAACCTTAAGGTGTTAAAAATAAAAATGGACAGCGGCATGGGTTAGCTTAATTATGGTCTTTTGAGAGAGACGGACAATCGAGAGTTGCTTCTGTGCCCCCGACTAACAACAGGTGCCTTGCGTTTGATGACTCATTCAGAGATTGATGTTGTGTGTGTCGTGATTGTCATGTGCTTGTCTTCTAACCGGGCGATGTGCGGAGTCTGCATGGAAAACTGATGAGCGTAATCGTGTTTACGCATTGAAAGAAATCATTGTCAAGGCTGCATTCAAACCCTGTGGCCCACGGTTACGAGGATGCTGGGGGATAAAGCATTAAATAAACAGATAGTGCTTTATTTTTTAGAGGGAGAGGTAGCTTGCTAGCATAATCGGCATTATGTGCAGTTGAATTGATGTTTAGAAAAAAAAACGGTAGAAGATAGTCAGGCTTTTTAGAACTTTTTATTAAGGATGATACATAAAGATGCACCAACAGCCTTGATAATGATTATTGTTGTCATTTATGTCTCAAACTTTGAAAAAAAATTCACACAAAGTTGATAAATATCCAATGACCATGCTATCAAGAGTAAATGGGTTTATCATTCGGGTATACGTTGACCATCAATCAACTAGCTCAAAAACAGATGTACTTATGATATAGAGTTGTTATCAAGTAGAAACAGTATTAGTATTTTTTTCAGGCAGTTGTTAACATAATCAAATAGATTGAACAATGGAAAATGTGACAAATGATTTATTCACGGCTATTTTAGGTCCACTT